GAGCCAAAGGCAGCAGGGATAGAGGCAGACCCAGCATGAGATGGATTCAGGGGTTATTTCAAGGGGGAATGAGCAGGAACGGCGTTCCGGCAGTACCAACATTCCCCCCCTCCCTTGCAAGCAAACACACACACGCTCTCCCTTCCCTTTGCTCGGAGGTGGAGTGGGAACGGAGCCCCGGCTGTAACTTTTCGTCTCTTCCACGGCTCTTCTGCTTTGGACGGGAGGGGAGGGGGGCATAGGCGTAGACGGAGGGGGAAACAGAAGTGTGCAGGCTCAACCCTCAGATGCCACCAGTTGCCAACTCAGAACTTGGGGAAATTCCTGAAGATTCGGGGGTGGGGACAGGGAGGTTTAGGAAGGGGCTAGACCTCAGCACAGAATACTGTCCACCGTCCAAAGCTGCTTTTCCTCCCGGGGAACTGATCCCCCCCCACACACCATTAACCACCTGGACTATTTTCTTTGTGCTTTTGAAGCAATTTTGCTCCAGGTAGGCTCGCCAGCTCTGAGTTGGGAAGTACCTGGGAGATTTTTGGGGTGGGGCCCGAGCGGTGGGTGTTGCCTTCTGGCACACTTCCGGTGATGCCGGGGGGGCGTGGCCTATGCAAATATGTTGTGCTAATGAGCTCCTGCACCTCTTTTCCTACGAAATGACCCGAAAAGTAAAAGACGACGCCACCAGCGACTGGCTTGGTATCTTCTAATTTTTTTTATTATTATTTTGTCACTATAGGGGGGGGGGGGGGGGTTAGCTTTAGGCACAGAACACCATGTAAACATTGCCAGGGGAGGGGAGGAGAACCCTCTGGCTTGGGGGGTGAGGGGGGCAGAGCATCGGACACACTCCTGGCGTGCGTCTTGCAACCTGGGTGGAATTCTGAAGGAAAAGGTCCTGACTGGGAGGCTCGGCCGGACTGCCGGAGAGCTTTCTCAGCTCCCTCTGGTCACGATCCACAGCACTATGCAGCCGTTGTATTTGGTGGAACAGCAGCTGAGCCCAGGCCTGGAATCGAAGGCTTGAATGGTTTGGAGAGAGAGATTTGCTTGCCAGGGGGGGTTTCCTCAGGTCACGCTATCCCCCCCCCAGTTGCCGAGCCCATCCCCTGAGCTAGATCAACCGGGAACCTTCTGGGGCCCAAGTCCTAGGACCATCTTTGGGGGGGAAAGGCAGACAGGCAGCACGGTCAATGCTTCCATGTCCACGTGTGTCTGCTTTCCACTGGACTTATGCTGCCTGTTTCAGTGCAGCGCTCCTGAAGGGCATTTCAAGCATCCAAAGTGCTTCAACGAAACTTTGTTATCCCTCCAACCCTCCTGTAAGGGAAGAAGTTGGATTCATGCCCCGCCCTTCACTTGGAGTCTCAGGCATGCCCAATAACCCACTTTCATCCACTTTCCAACTGGATTTTACTGTGTGAACTGGCAAGATCCAGTTGGACAATGCATCGAAAGTGGATTGTTCGGGGGGGGGGGTGACCACAGCCTCAGAGCGGCTTACAATCCCCTTCCCTTCCTCTCCCCACCCTGTGAACTAGGGGGGGCTGAGAGAGCGCTGAGAGAACTGCCCTTCAGAGACCAGCTCCGGGAGAACGGTGACTTGGTCCAAGGTCACCCAGCTGGCTGCAGGTGGAAGAGTGGGGAATCAAACCCGGCTCTCCTGATTAGAGTCTGCTGCTCTTAATCACTGCACCAGACTGGCTGTCTGTTCATTCACCATAGGGCAAAGGAAGAGGGGGGTAGCGAAGCTTGCTTAGGAGCTAGCTAGTAAGTCCAAGACTCAGATGAGATTTTTTTTGGGGGGGTGGACCTCTTGGCCACGACCCCTGCATATACTCACTTTATCAGTGCAACCTCTCTGTGCCCTCCTGTGTTCAGCCTGAAACATTTATTCTAGAACACTGTCCCTGAGAACTCCCCTCACATAAGGATTGGAATCCCCCTCTTGTCAATTCAGGGCAATTCTAACTGCCTGAATTCCACAGGGCCAAAGCCGCCTTTGCATGATGTATAATTGTACAGTAGAAGGACCAAGGTACATTGTGGAAGTTTCATTTGATTGGTGACCAGCAAGGAAGACAGGTTCATGTATAATTGTACAGTAGAAGGACCAAGGTACATTGTGGAAGTTTCGATTGGTGACCAGCAAGGAAGACAGGTTCAGGTGAGCCACCGTTTTAGTCTGAAGCGGCAGAACAAAGTTTCAGGGGCACCTTGAAGACCCAACAAAAGTTTTATTCCGGGTATAAGCTGCCATGTGCACGCCTACACGCAACGTATGGACCTGAAGACGTGTGTGTTGGTTTTAAAGGTGCCACGGGATTCGAACTCGGCTCAGCAAGGAAGAGGACCGGGAAGCACGCTCTACCGGCAGTAAGCCCTACCCTAAGAAATGCAAGATAAAATGGCTTCAGGAAGGAGCGAGGATCTTTCTAAAAGCTGACAAATCAAGTGTCGTCGCAAGCGCTCTCGCAATCCACAATCTGTTTGGGGGAAACAGGGTCGTGTTTGGGGGCCTGCAACCACCTCACGTGGCTCCGTGGAAAGAGGCTTCAGTTGGGCCAAGCTGCAAACGGGTGTGCAGAATTAAGTGCCTCCTGGTTTCGTCAACTGAATGCAACTGGCTTCAAAATATGCCTAATTTGACTTGGCTCTTTTGTGCATTACGGTCTCACTTTATTGCAAGCGGATGTCCACCTCGGAGGCTGCCTGACACAGAAGTGGGCCCTCGGTCCTGGCCTAGACTGGCAGCCGCTCTCCAGGGTCTCCGGCAGAGGATGGCTTTGCCCAGTTCCTCTTCACTAAACTCCTGACGCTGGCAATCAACCCTGGGACTTTTCCTACACGCAAAGCAAGTGCTCTAAAAGGGAATCCTATTATGGGCTCGAGACTCTCTGCTTGACTCTCATACTAAGTCCCTGGGTGTAAAACTTCTACAACGGAGTGTGAGAGATTGCAGTCAATGTTCCCTCTCTGCTGTGGAGCCCTGTGAGCCAAAATTCTGCTCTGTGAGCAACTGGCATTCAAGTTGTGAGCGAAAGATTTGGCTGCTGCATAAATTGGTTTCCTCTGGAGCCATCCTTCCTGAGCCGAGACAAAAATGTGTGAGCCGGAGGCTAAAAAACCTGTGAGCTAGCTCACACTAACTTAGCTTAGAGGGAACATTGATTGCAGTGTCTCTAGGGAAGGGACCCCCAGCCTTTTTGAGCCCTTTGGAGTTCCGAAACAGGGCAGTGGGCACCGGCACAGAATGGCTTGCTGCAGGAGGCAGAGCCTCCGCCAACCACCCAATGGCAGGGCGTGAGGTCATGCGTCACTCCAACAGTAACTCCTCGACATTTCAGGCAGAAGCTCTGTTCTAACAGGATGCCTTTGATATCTGCGAGGCCAATCAGGAGCCCTGCAGGGAGAAAGCCCCACCCACACGCTCGCTGAAAGTAGTGCCAGCGGCCACCATTTTGCCCATGGGCAGCACGCTGAGGGACCCATGTTTTAGAGGAAAGACCCAGTTTCTCTAGTCCCTGAATGGCCAGGGCGAATGGTGAGACACCAACACTACCTGGGGTCAGCCTCATCCAGTCTGAAAGGGGAAGTTCCTGGTGGACGCAGCTGGGTTCCTGCTTGCCAGTGGCTACTAGCAGTGGTGACTCTGGGGAACCTCCACAGTCAGAAGCATGAAACCTCTGAACCCCAGAGCCAGGAGGCACCGCCAGGGGAAGGCCTCGGCCTCTCTGCCCTGTCGTTGGCCCTCCAGAGGAATCGGTTGGCCGCGGTGTGAGACGGGATGCTGGACGAGATGGACCCTCACTGGTCTGACCCAGCAGGGCTCTTCTGATGTTCTTATCAGGGGAAGGCCTCGGCCTCTCTGCCCTGTTGTTGGCCCTCCGGAGGAACTGGCTGGCCCCTGTGTGAGACAGGATACTGGACTAGGTGGACCCTCACTGGTCTGATCCAGAAGGGCTCTTCTGATGTTCTTATGAAGGCCTTGGCCTTTGTGCCCTGTTGTTGGCCCTCCGGAGGAACTGGCTGGCCCCTGTGTGAGACGGGATGCTGGACGAGATGGACCCTCACTGGTCTGACCCAGCAGGACTCTTCTGAAGTTGTTATCAGGGGAAGGCCTCAACCTCTCTGCCCTGTCGCTGGCCCTCCAGAGGAACTGGCTGGCCCCTGTGTGAGGCAGGAGGCTGGACTAGGTGGACCCTCACTGGTCTGATCCAAAAGGGCTCTTCTGATGTTCTTATCAGCGGAAGGCCTTGGCCTCTCTGCCCTGTTGTTGGCCCTCCGGAGGAACTGGCTGGCCACTGTGTGAGGCAGGATGCTGGACTAGGTGGACCCTCACTGGTCTGATCCAGCAGGGCTCTTCTGATGTTCTTATGAAGGCCTTGGCCCATGTGCCCTGTTGTTGGACCTCCAGAGGAACTGGCTGGCCACTGTGTGAGACAGGAGGCTAGACTGGATGGACCCTCACTGGTCTGATCCAGCAGGGCTCTTCTGATGTTCTTATGAAGGCCTTGGCCTCTGTGCCCTGCTGTTGGCCCTGCAGAGGAACTGGTTAGCCACTGTGTGAGACAGGATGCTGGACGAGATGGACCCTCACTGGTCGGATCCAGCCGGGCTCTTCTGATGTTGTTATCAGGGGAAGGCCTTGGCCTCTCTGCCCTGTTGCTGGCCCTCCAGAGAAACTGGCTGGCCCCTGTGTGAGACAGGATGCTGGACTAGATGGACCCTCACTTGTCTGATCCAGCAGGGCTCTTCTGACGTTCTTCTCAGGGGAAGGCCTTGGCCTCTGTGCCCTGTTGTCGGCCCTCCAGAGGAACTGGTTGGCCACTGTGTGAGGCAGGATGCTGGACTAGATGGACCCTCACTGGTTGGATCCAACAGGGCTCTTCTACTGTTCTTAGTGACTTTCTACAACACAGCAGGGCCAGCCTGACTGTATGAGCAACAAGTGTGGGGGGTTAATACTTGCCGGGGTCAGCAAGGAAGCAGGGCACAATTTATGTCGCCACCTCCTTCTCCCTCCCCACTCCAGCATCCTCTACAGCATTTCAAGATTTTTTCCCCCTTGGACTGTGCAGACCCCTTTGAGGGGCCCCCCTCCCCAAGAGAATCCATTCTTTGCTCTTCCTTGCACTTTCCTCAGATTCCAGTTTTTCTACCCAGCGTGTGTTTTTCCCCAGTCACACTTTGCATAGGAAAGGGGGGGAAAATACCAGTAACAAATCCAGTTGCTTTCCTTGGGGTGTGCGTTTTCACTTCCCCCCTCCCCTCCCAGGAATTTTAAGGTTTACATTAAGACCTGTGCCCTTTGGTTAATTCCGCAACTTTTCCCCCCCCAGCATTGAGAAACAAAACTGATTCTCCTACTCACTCCAAGAGAAACTCTGGGATGTAAATAGAAACCTCGTACTCTTTCATGCTGTCATTCTCAGCTATACCAGGGGGAGGGGGGAGCGCCTTTTTAGTGCGAGTTAAAAGACCACACAAGAAGCACGGACTTTCCAGTGAACTCAGGGCTCCTTGCGCAACCGTCTCTGGCCCGTAGTATCTTGTGTTAAGTGGGGACAGGAGAATTAAAGACTGGGTAGAAACAAAGTTTGTTTTCGAGAGTGTCCCCTAGAGTTCATTGTTCTTCGGGCAATTGCGCAGGTTCTTCAGCTCCAGCTGTAGCTGTCTGATTTTGATATCCTTCTGAGACAGCTCCCCCTTCAGCCGCCGGATCTCATCCTGTTGCCGGAAGAACATGCGGAGGAGCTGAAGGTGGAAGAGAAAGAGAGAGTACTGCAAGGTAAATTCACTCGAGTTCCAATGCATGAACGTATATGCCCATGCATGGCTACTATGGTGGAATTAGAGATGTGAAGGCCCGGAAAATTTTTGTGGGGAAACGGTTTCCCCCCATTTTTTCCTGAAGCCTTTTTTGTTTTTTCTCAAAAAATTGAAAAAATAACAGAAAAGGAAAAAAATGATTATGGAACATTTTATTTTAACATCATGAATAAAATATTTTAAGACAAGGTGTTCAAATATTTTCCAAATCATTTCTAAAATATATATATATATGGTATCAGATTGATCTAATTTCTGTGCACTGAGGACAAGCAAGTCCTAGGTTACCAACTGAACTCTCCAATGCAAGAACAAGATGCATTTCTTCCTTTATGAGGTGCTATTGTCAGAAGAAAATGAAAAGGTTTCAGTTTTGTTTTTTCATGTGGGTGGGTATTCTGTTTGTAATAATTGTTTGGATACACTATATTTTTAATATGCTAGTTGTGATAATTTCATGACAAGTAAAATGTCCATAGTCATATTTTATGTTCCTAAAGTAACAGAATGACTTTCAATCTGGAAAAGAAAAAAGAAGTGCTAATGTAGCATTTTTTTTCAATTTTTCCGAAAATTCCCCCCCCCCAAAAAAAAAACGGAAATTTTTTTTCCCAGCTTCAAAATTTCCAAAAATTTTACATCTCTAGGTGGAATCAGTTACTCATGTCCTCCTGTTCTGCAGATTCTATCAATAGGAATGAGACCATCTTATACTACCCCTTCTGTCTAGATTTAGCCCTCTGCAGTCTTATCTTGACTTTAGGCCAGAAGTCCTTCGTAAATTCCTCCTAGAAGACGTCCAGAGCTCAGTGACTTACGCTGCGGCAAAATTTTGTTGCTTAGCTATTAGGAAACGTAAACTTATTTTAGCTGAAAAGATGGTATGATTCTCTTATTAATAGTATTTTCTCTTACTGATTTTATTAATTTTCTCTTGTTAATGTTTTTATACTATTGCTATGTTATTACGGTTTTAATCTTTCTTATATCAGAATTGTATTGTTTTACTGGCTCTTGCTGTCATAAATCACATCAGAATTAGATCGGAAGGGCTGTCACGCCCGGGAGCAGGAAAGACTGGACCACCGGGCCGAACGACCTCGGTCTCGGGGGCGATCCAACAGCAAGCAATCGTGCAGGCATCCCATTTCCCCCTCCCTCGGTAAACGGATCATTGTGCCATTCGCAAGGGGAAGCGTGGGGCCAGGCAGGGCGGGTGGCAGGCTGTCTTCTTGGCCCCGCAAAGTCCTTGAAGATGTTATCTCAAAGCCCCGACAGCCAGCTTGGAAAATTAGGTGATTATGAATGAAAAAATACATGCACTATGTTGAAGCTGGAGACAGAATAGTAAAAAGCCCAGTAGCACCTTTAAGACGATCAAACTTCATTGTAGCATAAGCTTTCGAGAAACACAGCTCTCTTCGTCAGAAGAGAGCTGTGTTTCTCGAAAGCTTATGCTACAATGAAGTTTGTTCGTCTTAAAGGTGCTACTGGGCTTTTTGCTATTTTATTGGCTTCCTTACCTCATTCTCTGTCCTGGGTGGTACGTTTTCCAAGAGATCGAATCCATTCACGACGACACTCTTTTTCTCCCTTGCAGGTGCCTTGAAAATTGCTTTGGATGTTTTCTTGTAGCCTTCCTTTAAAGACATCAGGATGGGATCTTTTCGAAAAGAGAGAGACATGTCAAATGAAACTTTCTCTCTGCCTTTTCCTCCTGTCTGGGACAGTTACATCTTCCGGGCTCAGGTGTAGGGGTGGAACTTGGTGGAGCCAGTTCTTGCTGATCTGCACTGTCTGTCCTAGCTGGGCAAAAACTGGCTCCCATGGGGGCAAGAATGAGCTGCGCCTAATCTGATTGGTGTACTTCATGAGCCTGGAAAGGGCCCAAGTAGAACCAAAGCACTTCAGTTTCCATAGCATCACTGCAGCTTTCCTGGGGACGCTCAGCCCAGTGTTGCTCTTTAGCGCCACCAACATAGCTGGCCAGAATGTGGAACTGCAACTCCTTTAGCCTAACACCTTGTTGGAATACAGGGATGCCTTGTGTGTGAAGAAGAATGCCCTTATACCATGGTGACTAAAGGGAACTTCCACATTCAGAGGCAGTGGAGTCAACCAGAAATCAACATCAGTGAAAGGTTCTGTCAGCAGCCAATATGATGCCCACTGGCAGCAAAGACCCGTTTCTATAGCATCTTCACAGCAGGGTGAATGGTGAGACACCACTATAATATGGGTCCAGTTTGAAAGGGGAAATTCCTGGTGAACTCAGCTGGGTCCCTGCTTGCCAGTGGCTACTAACCATGATGACTGAGGGGTGACTCCATATTCAAAGGCACTAATCCTCTGAATCCCAGGGCTAGGAGGCAACATCAGGGGAAGGCCTCGGCCTCTCTGCCCTGTTGCTGGCCCTCCAGAGGAACTGGTTGGCCACTGTGTGAGACAGGAGGCTGGACTAGATGGACCCTCACTGGTCTGACCCAGCAGGGCTCTTCCGCTGTTCTTATTAGGGGAAGGCATCGGCCTCTCTGCCCTGTTGATGGCCCTCCAGAGGAACTGGCTGGCCCCTGTGGGGGACAGGATGCTGGACTAGATGGACCCTCACTGGTCTGATCCAGCAGGGCTCTTCTGGTGTTCTTCTCAGGGGAAGGTCTTCGCCTCTATGGCCTGTTGTTGGACCTCCAGAGGAATTGGTTGGCCACTGTGTGAGACAGAAGGCTGGACTAGATGGACCCTCCCTGGTCTGATCCAGCAACTTCCGATGTTCTTATCAGGGGAAGGTCTTGGCCTCTATGGCCTGTTGTTGGACCTCCAGAGGAACTGGTTGGCCACTGTGTGAGACAGGGCCAGTAAAATGGAGCTGTTGAGACGGCAGACGCCCCCCTGTTTACGCCCCCTTTCCAGTGCCTTGCTGTTTTAAATAATATCATTGGGCACTGGTTGTTATTGTCTGTCGTGCCATCTACTGTTTTATTGGTTTCACTGTTTTATAGATTTTATGCTGTAAGCCGCCCTGAGCCCAATCATGGGATAGGGCAGGCTATTAAATAGATAGATAAAATCCTTCCCGAATCAAAGACTGCTAGAGGGAAGGGAAACTGGGTGTGGGGGTAGGGGGGAGAATCCACGTCTGCTGCTGCTGCTGCATTCAGCTAGTGGTTGGTCGGCTACAACTCCAAATCCTGACACGTTTAAGACTACAGTTTTTATATCGGGTCCTGAAGTTTCCTGAAAAGAGCGGGTCCTTCTTTGCTGCTGGGTTCAGACCGCGCGTTTCTAAACGGCTTCACAAGGCGACGCGGGGTCGGCACTTTCACCTCTGTTGGTTCCACTCAGCCATTCGTCCGGGGTGAGGGCCGGTTCTATTCCCGGCGTCATGGGGTAAATATCCTCTTGGTACGTTTCCGACTAGAATGAGGAGACAAGAGAAAGGCACAGATGACTTTAAAAGGGGATCAGGCAGAGTCAGGGAGGAGAGGTCTATCAACGTCTACTAGCCGTGGTGACTACAGCAAACCTCCATGCTCAGAGGGGGACGCCACTGTCGGGAGGCAACATCGGGGAAAGGCCTCGGCCTCTGTGCCCTGCTGTTGGCCCTCCAGAGGAACTGGCTGGACTAGATGGGCCACTGGTCTAATCCAGCAGGGTTGCTCTTATGTACTAGCCACACTGAAATAGTTAGCCACCAAAAGGGATTTTTTTGAATGCTCTAGCAAAAAATAGTGACACGTACCCCAAAAGAGCAGGTCTTCACTCCTCCAAGAGTTGGAGGTCATCAGCTACAGCCCCTCCCTCATTCTCAGAATGATGCCAATTTCACAGAATCATAGAATCACAGAGTTGGGAGGGACCTCCACGGTCATCTAGTCCAGCCCCCTGCACAATGCAGGAAATTCACAGATACCTCCCCCCCACCGCCAGTGACCCCTGCTCTATGATTGGAAGAGGAGGAGGAAAAACCAACCCTCCAGCATCCCAGGCCAAACTGGCCTGGAGAACAATAGCTCCCCCTCCTTTCCTCCCCCCAATTTTTATTTATGTTGTTTTACATCATTCTTAAGAGATGTCTCGCTTACAATAAAGTCGTGACCATTCTTTTGAGTCTGTTACATTACTTCTTTTCTAACCATTTATACAGTCTATTCCATCTTTCTTTAAATATATCATCATCTTTTCCTTGTACAGTCAATGTCAAGTTGTCCGTCTCTGTGATGTCCAACAGTTTATATATCCATTCTTCTCTTGAGGGTATTTTTTCTTGTTTCCAATACTTAGCAAAAACAATTCAAGCTGAAGTTAACCTATATGTTATCCCATATTGATTCATTTTATTACAGTGATCTGGTAAAAGATTTAACAAATAAATTTGTGGCAAGTAAGGTAAGTCTAAAGAACAATAGCTCCCTGACCCCCAAAGTGGCGATCGGCATTGCCCTGGGCGTGTCAGAAAGGGCCACGAGAACTAAGCGCTGAGGCAAGCCTTCCTGCCCTCCCTCGCATGATCTGCCTCAGTTCCCAGAATCCACATTGCTGTTATAAGGCCGACTCTTGAGAGTCCCTTGGACTGCAAGAAGATCAAATCAGTCCATCCTAAAAGAAATCAACCCTGACTGTTCCCTGGAAGGCCAGATCCTGAAGCTGAAGCTCAAATACTTTGGCCACCCAATGAGAAGGGAGCACTCACTGGAGAAGACCCTGATGCTGGGAAAGATTGAAGGTCAAAGAAGACGGGGACGGCAAAGGATGAGATGGTTAGACAGTGTCATCATAGATGCAACGAACATGAAATTGAGCCAACTTCAGAGGATGGCGGAAGACAGGAAGGCCTGGCGGGATCTGGTCCATGGGGTCACAAAGAGTCGGACTCGACTGTGCGACTGAACAACAAGTCTCCGCTTGAAAACCTTCACAGAAGGGGAGCCCACCACCTCCCGAGGAAGCCTGTTCCACTGAATTCCACTGAGGAACTGCTCTACCTGTCAGGAAATTCTTCCTAATGCTTAGCCGAATTTATGGCCTTTTGGATTGACTGGGTAATACCCCCCCACACACACACACAACTGCCATTTGGAATGCAAACTGTGCCAGTACATTATCAAACATCTCCATTTGCCCCTCCGAAAGCTCCCAGTCCTGCAGCAGAGGTAGTTTTCCAGGCAGCAGCTCAGTGTGAGTCCAGCTCGAGCCTCACTTGTCATTTGATGTGGTCTTTCTACCCCTCAATTCACATATGCCAATAAAGGTCTGTGTATGGAGTGAGCTCCCATCTCTAGTTCCAGCTCCTGCCAACCTAGCAGTTCGAAAGCAAGAAATTGCAAGTAGATAATTAGGTACCACTTCGGTGGGAAGGTAACAGTGTTCCGTGCGCCTCGGTGTTTAGTCATGCCGACCACGGAAACGTCTTCGGACAGCGCTGGCTCTTCAGCTTTGAAACGGAGATGAGCACCGCAACCCTAGAGTCGGACTCAACTGGCTTTCGAGCAAGGGAAACCTTTACCTTTACTATGTATGTGTACCCCTCAATTCTGGAGCCTCAGGGGTTAATTGCTTTGTCAGAAGAACTCAGTCTGTTTTCGTCCACATGCTGTTTCTCTTTCTGGCTAGAAAGGGTGTGTGTGAATATCGGCTCATGCAGTACAGTAGTCTAGGAGGCCTGGGAAACGTATGATCTCAGCGCCCACCCTGACCATGGGGGCAGGGAATTTCTAGATAGTGCAACGGTTAGCGACAGGTGTGGGGGCGGCCTTTTGGGAAAGTTTGGACCTTTGGTGGGCTAAATGAGGATATTGATTGAAGAAGAAGAAGAAGAAGAGATTGGATTTATACCCCGCCCTTCACTCGGAGTCTCAGAGTGGTTTACAAACTCCTTTCCTTTCCCTTCCCCTCCCCACACCCTGTGAGTTAGCGGGGCTGAAAGCGCTCTTTCCAGAGCTGCCCTTGAGAGAACAGCTCTGACAGAACTATGGCTTGCCCAAGATCATCCAGCAGCTGCAAGTGGAGGAGTGGGGAATCAAACCTGGTTCTCCCAGATTAGAGTCCGCGCACTTAACCACGACACCAAACTAGCTCTTGATTGGGTAGTGTACCTTGGGGGGGCGTCTTGCATACTGTACAGGTTCAGTCCTGGCGCCTGGTTGTCAGTTCTGACACAGCATCTGTCCACGCTTGGAACTTTTTCACTTCTCAATAAACCAGTCTTGCTGATACAAGAGTCTGGCGAGAGTGACTACGGCCGAGACCCGACAGTGCGCTTCCACCCAGAAAAGGAAGGTAGTCAAGGCAAGACGGGGTTCACTGAGTCCTGGCCTTGAAGACCCTGGCGGAGGAGGCCCACGAGTGCTGAAGAAACACGGGTTTAGTTTCGCGTAAAAATGAGCTTGCCCGCAAAAGCTGACTCCGAGCTGAAATCCTTACAGGACCGAACCGGGGGCTGCTTTCGGTGGGGGGGTCCTGAGCACTCACCCGCCTGGGGACAATCATGGAGATGGGCTCAATCAGCCCCTTGAGGGTAATGAGCTTGTAGAAGCGGAAGACCTCGCACGCGGACACCTCCAGGCCGTGTTTCGGCATCACCCCTGCAAAAAAAAGGGGTTTTTTTAAGGAAATGTGGCTGTTTGTAGAGAAAGGCACCATTCTACAGCTGTTCTGTTTTCTTTTCTCCCCATGGACTCTTCTCTGGTAGGGTAAGAAGGTCCCTCCAGCCATTTGATAACTGCATGCACTGGCAAGGAATGTTCATGAATACTCTAACTGGTGAGGGGGAAAGGTCAGCCACACAGTGTCTGGCTGTGTAATTACAGTCAGAGACGCTGACTTTAAGCCTTGTCTCTTATGCGTCTATCCTGCCTTTCCTACATGAGAGTCTCCAGGCAGCATAAAGGGATGGGGGTGTTCGGGGGGGGGGGGGGGAGTCTCCCAGGGGGGGGTGGAGTCTCCCAGGTGCTGACCAGATCCAGACTTGGCTAAACTTCACCAAGGTGGCTGCATTGGGAGGAGGAGGAAGAGGAGGAGACGACTGGATTTATACCCCATGGCCCTTCACTACCCGAAGGAGTCTCAGAGCGGCTTACAGTCCCCTTTCCCTCCCCCTCCCCACCACAGATACCCTGGGAGGCAGGTGGGGCTGAGAGACCTCTCTCGAGGACTGCTCTTGAGAGAACAGCTCTGAGAGAACTTGTGACTGACCCAAGGTCAGCTGGCTGCATGTGGAGGAGGAGTGGGGAATCAAACCCGGTTCTCCCAGATTAGAGTCCCTGCACTTAACCACTACACCAAACCGGCTCTCCTGGGTATCATTGTGAGGCCATAACCTGGCCAAATTTGGCTGAGGGGGGAACCCAAAGTTTCCAGGGTGGAACACGGGACACAGGCAGAGACAGGGAGGCTGCTGGCTGGCAGACTGGGGCAAGAAGGCCCAGGGGCTAGGAAAGCGAGGGGGCCGAGGTACGGGGGGGCTCAACGGAGGGGGAAGGGGTAGGCTGAGGAACTTGAAGGAAGGGGAGATGGAGGAGCCACAAAAAGGCCATTCCCACACCACAAGACCCGGTCACGTAACATTCCCCTCCCCCTTACCGAGGCCTTTCTGTGGGGCCGGGGAGCGGAACTCCATGAGATAGGTGAGGTATGGCTTCTCTGTACTGACTTCGTAGTAGCGGATATTCCCGTCTCCCTGGGGAACAGAGCAAGAAGGGACACCGTGGACTCGGCTGTGTCACACACAAAAGGGATCCCGCAGAGAGTCTCGGCGGTTCCCCGTGAGGGGCTCCTCAGGCCGACGCCGTTCCGGCTTCTGAACGCATGCGACCCGTGCAATCTTGTTTCTCCTCACGGCAGCCTAACGAAACCTTTTGGCCTTTTCCCCATGTTACAGGTGAACCACCGGGGCAGCGGTGACAAATTAGCACCCAAGTTCGACAGGCATTTACGCTGGAGCAAGTCTAGTTGGTCACAAGGAGGCTTGCTTGCTTCCAAGTATGCATGTTTAGGATCTTGGTTCCCCTCTCCAGATTTTAAATCTACAGTTGCGGGAGCTCTCTGGTTAATCTCCCCCCAGGAACTGCCTGATGCTTTTAAAACGAATGCTCCCTCTACGCTGTGGAGTCTTGTGAGCAGAAATTCTGCTTTGTGAGCTACTGGCGTTAAAGTTGTGAGCGAGCGATTGGGCTGCTGCACGAGTCAGTTTGCTCTGGAGCCCTCCTTCCTGAGCGAAGACAAAAATGCGTGAGCCGGAGGCTAAAAAGCTGTGAGCTAGCTCAAACTAACTCAGCTTAGAGGGAACACTGGAACTAGTTGGTTCATTTCCAGCTCAAAGAGAGGAAACCTGGAGGTGCTTTGGATGTACCTAAATGCTTCTTGGATGAGGCAGGTCATAAGAACATAAGAGAAGCCAATGTTGGATCAGGCCAATGGCCCAACTAGTCCCAACACTCTGTGTCACACAGGGGCCAAAAACACCAGGGGCTATCAGGAGGTCCAGCAGTGGGGCAAGGACACTAGAAGCCCTCCCACTCTTGCCCCCCCAAGCACCAAGAATACAGAGCGCATCACTTGCTCTAAACTGAGAGTTCCTATAAGAACATAAGAGAAGCCAGTGTTGGATCAGGCCAATGGCCCCTCTGGTCCAACACTCTGTATCACCTAGTGGCCAGAAATATCAGGGGCCATCAGGAGGACCCATCAGTGGGGCCAGGACACTAGGAGCCCTCCTACTGTTGCCCCCCTCCCAAGCACCAAGAAGACAGAGCATCCCTTGCCCCAGACTGAGAGTTCCTATAAGAGCCCGCTTGCGGGGAGGGCGGGGTAAAAATACCTAAAATAAATAAATAAATAACATAAGAGAAGCCAATCCTGGATCAGGCCAATGACCCATCCAGTCCAACACTCTGTCTCACACAGTGGCCAGAAATACCAGGTGCCATCAGGAGGTCCACCAGTGGGGCCAGGACACTAGGAGCCCTCCTACTGTTGCCCCCCTCCCAAGCACCAAGAAGACAGAGCATCCCTTGCCCCAGACTGAGAGTTCCTATAAGAGCCCGCTTGCGGGGAGGGCGGGGTAAAAATACCTAAAATAAATAAATAAATAACATAAGAGAAGCCAATCCTGGATCAGGCCAATGACCCATCCAGTCCAACACTCTGTCTCACACAGTGGCCAGAAATACCAGGTGCCATCAGGAGGTCCACCAGTGGGGCCAGGACACTAGGAGCCCTCCCACTCTTGCCCCCCCCCAGCATCAAGAATACAGAGCATCCCTTGGCCCAGACTGAGGGTTCCCATAAGAACATCAGAGAAGCCAAGGTTGGATCAGGCCAATGGCCTATCCAGTCCAACACTCTGTCACACAGCGACCAGAAATACCAGGTGCCATCAGGAGGTCCAGCAGTGGGGCCAGGACACGAGAAGCCCTCCCACTGTTGCCCCCCCAACACCCAAGAATACAGAGCACCCCTTGCTCCAGACCGAGAGTTCCTATAAGAACATAAGAGAAGCCACTGTTGGATCAGGCCAGTGGCCCATCCAGTCCAACACTCTGCGTCACACAGGGGCCAGAAACACCAGGTGCCATCAGGAGGTCCAGCAGTGGGGCCAGGACACTAGGAGCCCCTCCCACTGTTGCCCCCTCCCAAGCACCAAGAATACAGACTGAGAGTTCCTATCTATACCTTGTGGCTAATAGCCACTGATGGACCTCTTCTTATACTGATGGACCTCAGACCTCAGAGAGGAGTCCAGAATGCCTCGCCACACGTTGTCCCTTCCCACCTGTGCTGGACGGAAGGCAACGCAGCACCCACCTTGCCCGCCAGGTACAGCATGTGTGTATCGGCATCGTAGAAAGGGAACAGGAGCCCGGAGAGACCGTCGATCTCCTCTTCTATTAAGGGCATGGAGAGGTCTTCCTGCAAGAAGGGGAAGGAGGCATCAGCCGCTTCAGACGCCCAGCCTGCCTTGTTCTCAGCCTCGGGTTGCCAGCCTCCAGATGGGGCCTGGAGATCTCCCGGAATTAGACCTGATCTCCAGGTGACAGAAATCAGTTCCCCTGGGGGAAATGGCTGCTTTGGAGGGTGGGTTCTCTGGCATGACACCCTGCTGCGAGGCCCACCCCCTCCTCCAACCCCACCCTCCCCGGGCTCCACCTCCCCCCAAATCCCCAGGAACTTCCCAACCCTGACTTGGCATCCCTCCTCTGCATCCATAATGGTTATGACACACTCTGAAACAGCAGTTTGGGTAAGTCTCGGGTACGACCCCCCCCCCCAGGAATGCATGGGCAGTTTGAGCTAGGAGCTTGGTGCCCTGACGGGTTTGGCATGCGCAGGGCTATTTCTGGGCAGGAGCGCACAGGAACGGAGTTCCGGCTGGCTCCCAAGTTGGCCACGCCCAGCAGGAACTCATTAGCATAATAGGCCACACCCAACAGCAGGAACTCATTAGGATTGGCTACATTAGGGGTGTGTGGCCTAACATGCAAAGGAGTTCCTGCTACAAAAAAGGCCCTGGGGATTGACAACAAACAAGGTAAACAGAATAAGAAGCAAGAGGTGGGTGTGGCTGGATGACCACACTTCTGGTAACATGGGGGTGTGGCCTAATGAGTTTTGCTGTTGGGTGTGGCCTATTATGCTAATGAGTCCATGCTGGGCTTTTTCTACAAAAAGAGCCCTGCATGCGGATCTCGTTGGCTGATCACAGTGGGAGGCGGGTGCGGGTGTGTGTGTGTGACCTCCATTTGTGGAGCTCTTTCAGTCCATCCTGAGGTGTCCCTCGAACAAAGACTGCACTTCCTTCCTTGCACTGAATGGGTTCACATCTCGCTTCTCTCCCCAGTGGGGACTCGGAGGGGCTTGTAGAACATCGTTCGCCGCCCTTCTTCCACTTTCTCACAACAACCCCGTACGGTAGGCCAGGGCTGAGAGCCTGCAGTTCAGCGTCTTAACCACTTGAGCCACCGCAGCTCCTTGGCTCTGCTAGGGGAGGGTTAAAGACAGTCACTTCTGACTGTGCACAGGTTTTGAGCCGTCCTTTGCCCACCATCCCGTTTGCATTTCCTCCAGTCACACAACTGCGGACTTCCCTCACTTCCAAGGCAACCCCCGCTTCCCTGCTCCAGAGGGGACAAACTTCTAACAGATCAAGGGGAAACAGACAAACAGGGCTGGAGGGGAAGAACACAGAAAGCCCCAATGGGAAGCCCCGCCCGGGATAGCTCAGGCAAGCCCAATCTTGTCAGATCTCGGAAGCGAAGCAGGGCCGACCCTGGCAAGTATTTGGAAGGGAGACCTCCAAGGAATACAAGGGCTGGGACGCTGAGGCAGGCATTAGTGAGCCATACCTCTGAAACGTTCATGCTCCACTAGGGGTCGCCGGAAGTCAAACATGACTTCCAGGCATGCACGCACACACAGACAAATAGATGTCAGCTGTCAAGGAGGTGTCAAAAGTGGAGCTCCAGACTTGCACCTAGGCAAGGGATGCTTCTAAACCCCCGGACATCCCAAACTGCCGTCGCATCCTGTGTCTGATTTCACAAAAAAGGGACCCTCCCACAGCAGTGCTGTACGGAAGCAATGTGCCACCGATCCTCCTCTTCTCTGTGGCAGCGAAGGACCTCCACCAGACGTTGCGACTCTGCTCAAGTTACGAACTGAGCAAATGCCTTCTCTGCTTATTAGATCCAAGTGGGCTGCCGTGTTGGGCTGAAGCAACACAATGAAGTTTGAGTCCAGCGGCATCTTGAAGACCAACCGAGTTTAATTCAGGTGGGTCGCCGTGTTGGGCTGAAGCAGCGGAACGAAGTTAGAGCCCAGCGGCACCTTTAAGACCGACAAAGTTTAATTCTGGGGATAAGCTTTCATGTGCATGCACACGAAGGCTTATACCCAGAATTAAACTTTGTAGGTCTTAAAGAAAAAGAAGAAGAGATTGGATTTATGCCCCGCCCAGCACTCGAAGTCTCAGAGCAGCTCACAAACTCCTCTCCCTTCCCCTCCCCACAACAGACACCCTGTGAGGTGGGCGGGGCTGAGAGAGCTTTGACAGAAACTGCTCTTTTTCAAAGACAGCTGTGCCAGAGCTTGTGACTGACCCAAGGTCACACCAGCAGGTACAAGTGGAGGAGTGGGGAATCAAACCCGGTTCTCCCAGATTAGAGTCTGCACACTTAACCACTACACCAAACTGGCTCTCACTGGACCCAAACTGTGGTCGCGGTCACACCCGTGAGATAAAGCGGGGGGGGGGGGGTTAAAGGGGGGCTTTTTCCTCCGGGGGAATTTGACCCGCAGTTGCGCAATCACACAGTCCTTGGACGCTGCGGGCACAGCCCGCCACTGCGTGACCAGATGCAAACCACAGATGAGTCGGGTTGTGGGGTTTTTTTGCAGTTTTGTTTCCGATGCGCTTCAACGAGGAATCGGTGAATTGCATCCCCTCACTGAGGGCTCCCTATGGAGTTTGACGCTGAACTGCAGGTTGTGGAAGGCCGGTAGTTCAGCAGTTCGAGACCCGAATGTGCCGCATGACGGAGTGAGCTCCTGTCTCTAGTTCCAGCTCCTGCCAACCTAGCAGTTCGAAAGCAAGAAATTGCAAGTAGATAAATAGGGACCACTTCAGTGGGAAGGTAACTGCGTTCCGTGCGCCTTGGCGTCTAGTCATGCTGGCCACATGACCACGGAAACGGCTTCGGACAGCGCTGGCCCTTTGGCTTTGAAACGGAGATGAGCACCGCAACCCTAGAGTCGGACTCGACTGGCTTTCGAGCAAGGGAACCTTTACCTTTACTTTTTACATACTGCGAAGGGGGGGGGGACAATGGCACGGAGTCGGGGTGGCCTGACCAGACCCTCCCGACGCCATGAGAGCGCGCTGAAGTGATCAGACAGGGGAAAGTCCGTCTGTAGCCCGTCGCAAACCATTTACTACCGGATTTCCCCCATTGTCTTTGAACTCCGCCTCTGTGGCGGAGCAAAACGGGTTGCTGACAGATGCAGGGCGCTTCCCACATGTGGATGCCTGACATTCACGCCTGTGGCGGGGCTAATTGTACGTGTGATCGCGCCCCATGTTTCACTGCTTATTCTTCCACCTCCCCCACCTGTCCGCGCTTAGGCGCTTTCTGACCTGGTCCCAGAGGGCGATCTGCCTGGTGTTCCACCGTGAAACTCCGGTCGTGAGAAGGCGCTTTAGGTTTCCTAGGAAGACAACCCGGTTCACGCGGTGGTTCTTGCAGTTGGCTTCCTGCAAAGATAAAGCCACGTCACGGCAGGAGGTCGGCTTGGGGTCAGATCCAGGCAAGCAATCTGTGCACTTTTCAGCTTAAGCCAATTCTGACAAATGGGTTCGGACTTGGTTCTGAATAGGCCTTCAGAACGCTTTGGATGCCGGATCGTGCTCCGTCCAAGAGAATGTCCGATTAATTAAAGGGCGGCGAATCCCCTTCAATTTTCTCGGGTTAAATTTTGATTCTCTGATGAGAAAACTTTCACTTGTGCCTGAAAACGGCAGAATAAAATCCTCACCAAGCTGTCATGGTCTTGATATGACTTATGCTTTTTCTCCAAATGCTGCTTCTACAGAAATTTGCTTAGTGAAAGATTTCTTACAGAAAACTTTGCCTTTCCCCATATGTCCCCCCAGGGAGCACTGAGATCAGGGTCGCAAAATCGCCTGACTCTCCCTGGTCCGAAAGACGCCAGATTGGCCGTCACTAGAGCCAGGGCCTTCTCAGTGGCAGCTCCACACTGGTGGAACGACCTCCCGGAAGACATCAGGGCCCTGCGGGACCTTTTACAATTCCGCATGGCCTGTAAAACTGAGCTCTTCCACCAGGCCTTCGATTAGGAGCTGCCACTGATGATTGAGCAATTAAAAACTGAACTGTTACGGCCCACATGTTAATGGCATTCAGGAAAACTCGGACACTGGTTTAGCGACATTGGATCGTCTTACAGCAATAGCCATCTGCACTCAACTGCACTTTTATATATACCGTTGTTGTGAAATTCTATAGTAATTTATTGCATTGCGCTTTCGCGTCTGTGTTTTATTGTACTTTAACTGCTGTACACTGCCTTGAGCCTGCCTGGGCAGGAAAGGCGAGATATAAACCGAAATAAATAAATACATAAATAAATAAATTGTTGGAAGGAGAGGAAATACATTCTCACCAACTCATAGATGTATTTGAAAAAGCCACTGACTTCCACAGTCTGTTTTATGTCCTAGGCAGGACATACAGTTTATACACCCAGCGTGAAAGAAATTAAACACTGTAATGTGCAACTGGACATATGAAGCAGTCTTATGTATCCTGCTAGATTGCCATGTTCTGCTCTTCAGACAGAGACAGGTCTCTCTCAGCACCTGAGTTTCTCAAAGTAGACTAGCCAGGTCTTGAACCTGGGACCTCATGCATGCAATGGCCTGCTCAGTTAACAAGAAGGAACTCCATTGGTTGGCAACATAGGCTAATACATAAGGGAAGCCAATGTTGGATCAGGCCAAAGGCCCATCCAGTCCAACACTCTGAGTCACACAGTGGCCAGAAATACCAGGGGCCATCAGGAGGTCCACCAGTGGGGCCAGGACACTAGAAGCCCTCCCACTCTTGCCCCCCCCAAGCACCAAGAATACAGAGCATCACTTGCCCCAGTCCGAGAGTTCCTATAAGAACATAAGAGAACATAAGAGAAGCCAATGTTGGATCAGGCCAATGGCCCATCCAGTCCAATACTCTGTCTCACACAGTGGCCAGAAATACCAGGGGCCATCAGGAGGTCCAGCAGTGGGGCCAGGACACTGGAAGCCCTCCCACTGTTGCCCTCCTCCAAGCACCAAAAATACAGAGCATCCCTTGCCCCAGACTGAGAGTTCCCATAAGAACATAAGAGAAGCCAATGTTGGATCAGGCCATTGGCCCATCCAGTCCAACACTCTGTAGCACACAGCGGCCAAAAATACCAGGTGCCATCAGGAGGTCCAGCGGTGGGGCCAGGATACTAGAAGCCCCTCCCACTGTTGCCTCCCCCCCCAAGCACCAAGAAGACAGAGCATCCCTTGCCCCAGAGCCCCTATCTATACCTTGTGGCTAATAGCCACTGATGGACCTCTGCTCCACATGCTTATCTAATTCCCTTTTGAAGCCGCCCATGCTTGTAGCCGCCACCACTTCCTGTGGCAGTGAATTCCATGTGTTAATCACTCTTTGGGTGAAGAAGGACTTCCTTTTATCCGTTCTAACCCGCCCTCTCAGTAACCCGACCGCTCAGTAATCCGACTGCTTCTGTAATCCTAGTCCTATTGCACTACTTACTATACGTCATCTCCTTTTGACTGCTTCAATTTCTACGGTGCAACCTGCCTTCAGGGAGAAAGGCAGGCTGGCAGTAACGTAAGTACATAAATGCAATTACTTGGAGGACTTTGCCGGACCGTGGCTCAATGACCCGGAGCTTCTTGTCTTTGCAGGAGGTGGCAAGCAAACTCCCGTCCGTGTTGAAGGACAAGCACAGGATGACGTCCGAGTGGCAGTCGATCATCTTCACAGGCTCACCGATGTCCAGGTTCCAGATGAGGACCTGAGGACAGAAGAAGATAAGAAGAGCCCCGCTGGATCTAGCCCAGTCTCCTGTCTCACACAGAGGCCAACCAGTTCCTCTGGAGGGCCAACAACAGGGCAGAGAGGCCGAGGCTTTCCCCCAATAAGAACGCCAGAAGGGCCCTGCTGGATCAGAGCAGTGAAGGTCCATCTAGTTCAGCATCCCGTCTCACGCAGTGGCCAACCAGTTCCTCCAGAGGGCCAACAACAGGGTATAGAGAACATGGCCTTCCCCTGATAAGAACCTCAGAAAAGCCCTGCTAGATTAGACCAGGGAGGGTCCACCTAGCCCAGTCTCCTGTCTCACACAGTGGCCAGCCAGTTCTTCTGGAGGGCCAACAACAGGGCAGAGAAGCCGAGGCCTTCCCCCGATAAGAACATCAGAAGAGCCCTGCTGGATCAGAAGAGTGAGGGTCCATCTAGTCCAGCATCCCGTGTCACGGAGTGGCCAACCCGTTCTTTTGGAGGGCCAACTACAGGGCATAGAGGCTGAGGCCTTCCTCTGAGAAGAACATCAGAAGAGCTCTGCTGATTCAGACCAGTGGTCCATCTAGTCCAGCCTCCCGCCTCACACAGTGGCCAACCAGTTCCTCTGCAGGTCTAACAACAGGGCAGAGAAGCTGAGGCCTTCCCCTGATAGGAACATCAGATCAGGCCAATGGCCCATCCAGTCCAACACTCTGTGTCACACAGCGGCCAAAAATACCAGGGCAGCAACAAGAAGGGAAAAAAACTGAACCTAACAATAAACTCCAGAACCAAACAAAGGTTAGTGAAAAGGAGGGCCAATATTAAAACCTTTCCATAAAAAAAGGTACATGTATTTATTGATAATAACAAATTTAAAAACATATATAGGGGCCCAATTACAACCAATGTATATAAAACATAACAATATCAAGGGCTTAAAAAGTTTATCAATAAATACATGTACCTTTGTTTATGGAAAGGTTTTAATATTGGCCCTCCTTTTCACTAACCTTTGTTTGGTTCAAAAATACCAGGGGCCATCAGGAGGTCCAGCAGTGGGGCCAGGACACTAGAAGCCCTCCCACTGTCCCCCCCCCCCAGGCACCTAGAATACAGAGCATCACTTACCCCAGACCGAGAATTCCTTTCTATACCTTGTGGCTAACAGCCACTGATGGACCTCTGCTCCATATGTCCATGCAGTCCAGCCTCCTGTCTCACACAGTGACCAACCAGTTCCTCTAGAGGTCCAACAACATGGCATAGAGGCCGAGGCCTTCCCCTGATTCTGCCTCCTAGCACTGACTTTCAGAGATTGACTGCCGCTGGATATGGAGGTTCTCTTTACTCACCATGGTTAGCAGCCATTGATGGACCTCTCTTCTGTAAACTATCTAATCCCCCTTTAAAGGGGGGGGGGCTTCACCACTTCCACTGGCAGAGAATTCCAGGGTTTAATTAATTGTTGAGCAAAGAAGTATTCCTTTTTGTCTCTCCCAAATCTCTGGCCCATCAACTTCATTGGGTCCCCCTGAGTTCTAGGGAGAAAAAGGCGGAAGAGCCAGGGAAACCCCTCGTCCACCGCTAGATGTTGGAACAGGGCACTGGAACTTTTTATCACCCGCCTCTCCGGCTGTACAAGGAGGCCACCCGAGCAAAAGCTCCAGTGAAGCAACCGGATTTAAAAAAAACATTGCTAAAAACAGCATCTCCATGAAAAGATTGTGCAAAAAGCAGAATGAAACCATCAGTGTCAACAGGGCCTCGGGGTGTGGGTGTGTGCTTTGATCATGGATTTATTCATTTGGTTTACTTCACTGATACCGCACCTTCTTCCCCAACGAGGAACCAAAGTGGCTTACATCATTCTCCTCATCTCCACTGTCTACTTACGACGACAGTCCGGAGGGGCAGGATTAGGCCGAGAGTGGCCCGTGGTCACCCAGCAAGCATCCACGGCAGAGGGGGGATTCGAACCTGGGCCTCCCACCTCCAACACTCTAGCTCACCACGATCCCACCCAAACCCTCCCAGGGCAGACCAGCTTCCCTGCGAGGCAGCTCGCCCACTGGTACGTGCAGCCTTTTGGGTGAGTGGGAAATGTTCTAAGGCATGCCTCCCATATGCGCTTGGCAGCGGCTTGGATGGCAACAGCGCACATCAAGAAGAAGAAGAAGAGGAGGATGTGCGCTCCTTCAAGCAGAGTGGGGTGCTGTAGTTGACTAATTCCTGCACGGAGCAAGAGGGGTTGGAGTAGGTGACCTCTAGGATCCCTTCTAACTCTAGGTCCAGAAACTGGTCTCCTTAAGAGAGAGTTTTTCTGTCTAAATGTTACCTTTCTGGACTACAGAAGTCATCGTCCCCACCTGCTGGCTTGTTCTCAGAATTGTTGCTCAGGCTCGCAGAAGTGATGAACTTGCAGCAGCTGAGAGCTGTCGTTTAAAGAGGCTGACAGCTTGCAACTGAGAGATTTATCCTGGCGACAGCTTTCTATTGGCTAAGTGGCTTTTCTTTCTGCACTGAGAACTTCAGCCCCACCAGAAACAAATTTGCCCCTCAAGCCACAGAATCCTGGCAAGGGGCCTGTTTCTCCAGGTGACCAAAGAAACCCACCCAGGGGCTTGCAAGAGGAAGGGGTGCCCAAGAGCCCCGCAGGGTCCAGACTGGTTAATGCCACATGTGAAGAACAGGAAGCAACAGCTGCTTTGTCAGGCAGTGCGCCCTGGCTAGTTCCTGAAGCCACCGAAGACCGGGCACAAATTTGGTGTGTGGGAAACCTCTCTCTGACCCCAGTGGTCCACCCTGTCATTATAGTAAAACCACACCCAAATTGAGTTGGATTTGCACCGAATATCCGCCACTGGGGCTTTAAACCCCTTTACCTGCCATTCTCCCCATCTCACACCTTCAGAATCTCGGGGAAAGGCCGGGACCGAACCCCTCGTCCCCAGAACTGCGATTCGCAAGGGATCCCAGGAAGCAAAGGGGGACTAAGCAGCTTTGCGCCTGTGCTCCATTTGACTTTCTCAAGAAGCACCCGGCTTCTGTCAAGTCTGCGCTGAGCCGACCCGCAGGGGGCCTTCGTCCTGCTCACCTTGTAGTCGTATCCTGCGCTGAAGAGGATGTTGTTGGTGGTCGGGTGCCACTCGATGAGACCGACGCGCCGGCTGTGGCCGTACAGCTCCAGGACGGCCTCCGTCATGTTGCGCTTCAACCCCCCGTCTGCGATCTCCCATATCCGCACCTGGAAGGGAAGGAGAGCAAGAGGTTGCTAAGGAGGAGGCCAGAAGATGCCCGGGCATGTTGGTGCTTTGGTGTGCCCCCCCCTCCCCCCCGCTTGCCAGAGAAAGCCAGGAAGGCTCCCCCATTTCAGTTAGAAGAAGAAGAGAAGAGATTGGATTTATACCCCGCCCTTCACTTGGAGTCTCAGAGCGGCTTACAAACTCCTTTCCCTTCCCCTCCCCACATAAGACACCCTGAGAGGTGGGTGGGGCTGAGAGAACTCTGACAGAAACTGCTCTTTTCCAAGGACAGCTGTGCCAGAGCTTGTGACTGACCCAAGGTCACATCAGCAGGTGCAAGTGGAGGAGTGGGGAATCAAACCCGGTTCTTCCAGATTAGAGTCCGCGCACTTAACCACTACACCAAACTGGCTCTTAGAGACTTGTCAGGAGGGCATTTTTACAAAGAGCACAGGGCCACCTTATTAGTTTAGGAATTTTGCTTTAAGAAGGAGAACGGTCATCCAGGCCACTAGATATGGTATGTATTATCCGGAAGAAGAGGAAGAGGAGGAGGAGGAGGAGGAGATTGGATTTATACCCCACCCTTCACTCAGAGTCTCAGAGCGGCTTACAACCTCCTTTCCCTTCCCCTCCCCACAGACAGGCACCCTGTGAGGTGGGTGGGGCTGAGAGAGCTCTCCCGAGAACTGCTCGTGATAGAACAGCTCTGAGAGAACTTGTGACTGACCAGAGGTCACACCAGCAGCTGCATGTGGAGAAGTGGGGAATCAAACCCGGCTGTCCCAGATTAGAGTCTGTGCACTTAACCACTACACCAAACGGGCTCTCACTGCACTGTGTCCTAATTCTGCAATTTCATTCTCCACATTGTTTGACATATCACGTCGGACCCTTTTTCGCAGTGTCCCTAATTCCTGTAGTCCCAGTCCTATTGCATTGCTTATTAGATGTCGCATGCTATCTGACTGCATCGGTCCATCTGGAGTCACAGTGCGAAAAGTGGGCTGCAAATAAATTGTTGGGTGCCTGCCTGGAGAAGAAGACGAAGAGATTGGATTTATACCCCATGGCCCTTCACTACCCAAAGGTGTCTCAGAGCGGCTCACAAACTCCTTTCCCTTCCCCTCCCCACAACAGACACCCTGTGAGGTAAAAGGAGGAGAAGAGGAGATTGGATTTATACGCCTTTCACTACCTGAAGGTGTCTCAGAGCGGCTTACAAACTCCTTTCCCTTCCCCTCCCCACAACAGACACCCTGTGAGGTAAAAGAAGAAGAAGAGGAGATTGGATTTATACCCCGCCCTTCACTACCCAAAGGTGTCTCAGAGCGGCTTACCATCTCCTTTCCCTTCCCCTCCCCACAACAGACAGACACACCCTGTGAGGGAGGTGGGGCTGAGAGAGCTCTTGACAGAAACTTTTCTTTTTCAAGGACAGCTCTTATCAGAACTAGGCTTGCCCAAGGTCATCCAGCCAGGTATAAGAGAAGGGGGGGGGGTTCTGCAAAGAGCTGCTGCTTTATCTCAAATAGAGCAGACTTTAAGCCCCCCCCCCCCCGGACTCATGAAACATTGCAGATCCAGTAATATCTGGCAAGTACGGACATCACCCGTGTTCACATGCTGTTAGCAAGCACGAACTGCAGGACAATAGCGTCCGCCCATTACAGAAATCGTACTATTAGTGGTTCATTTGGGGTCTTTGTTAAATACTACCGAGAAGCCTGAGTTAGCCCTGCCTTTTGTGTTTCCCGTGCCCTTTCACCATGGCTTAGGAGGGAAGAGCTCCGGGGTGAAAACTGTTGCCGAGAACATGCCGGGAAAGCTGCAGAACCATCCGCTGCCTCGTGGCAAATGGGGTTCAATGTGGCCAAGTGCAAGGTGATGCACATTGGAGCCAAAAATCCTAACTATAAATACACCTTGATGGGGTCCGAACTGGCAGAGACTGACCAAGAGAGAGATCTTGGAGTCGTAGTAGATAACTCAATGAAGATGACGAGACAGTATATGACTGCAATAAAAAAGGCCAACGCTATGCTGGGGATTATTAGGAAGGGAATTGAAAACAGATCAGCCAGTATTATCATTCCCCTGTATAAATCGATGGTGCGGCCTCATTTGGAGTACTGTGTACAGTTCTGGTCACCACACCTTAAAAAGGATATTAC